AGACATCTCAGAATGGATTTAAAATAAAAAATGGCCTCCACAAAAAATTCCCCCAGTATTTTATAAAAATTTTACTAGAAAACTCAAATCTCTTATGAATATTTTCGGAAGTCACTGTATGCACGTTGCTTCGCGCGAATGTTAGTAAAACAGAAATGTCAAAAACAGAGCCATAGGGTCTGCAGCGCCAAAGGGATGATGGTCTCGGCGCAACTAAAAGCGGCAAAATAAAAAAAAACAATAATTGAATAAAAAATACCAACGATAAAAATAGAAGAAGTTTAAGCAAAACTAGTGTAAAGACAAGCGTGGAAATAGTCAATAATATGCTCACACACACAAACATAAGTTCACAATAATTGTAAGGAAAAGCCGGAAAAAGCAAAAGAACTAAACAGAGACATTTTGCAAGCAGTTAAATTGTATAAGACGATCTGTACTATAGGTATACATATACATATATGCAAGTAAATATAGTAAAACTGTATGTACACATACTTATAAGTCATAGACAACCATTTGTAATGGCAAATGAAAAACAGTTTTTCTACGCTTGCTTTTTTTGCATATTCATTTTAATTGAACTTTTACGTTCGATTTTTTATTGTTTTTGTTATTGTTTTTTTTTCACTGATAGTAAAGTCGCGACACTGCATATTTATTTACATTTCGTTATAGCCTTTTGTTTGCGTTGAAAACTTTCCACATTTCCTTTAGGTAGGAAAAATATTTAATATTTTATTGTTGTTGTTGCTGCTGTGGTATATGTATTACTGATTGTCTTTTTAGCAATTGTCGCTCGCAAAAGCAAGAAATAGTATATTTGATTGATTTATAGAGTTGCTAGGTGTTTACGAACGCACATGCACACATGCATGTATGAATGTATACATACATATGTACGTAACATAAATGCATATGTACGATATTTAAATGTTATAGTGTAGGCGCTCATCAGCACATTTTAAGTACGCATTTTTTTTGTTTGCTCTCTTTGTCAACCCACCAACTACCATCAAGATTATTTGGCAACACTTATCACACCTATTTTTGCTTTTGTTTTCTTTTTGGCCTTTTTTTTTGGTTTTTTTTAATCAAAAAATGCGTCGCAAAATTGGTTTACTTTAGAGGCTGTTCGCTAGCTCAAACGGAAAACACAAACAAAATTGCAATGTCAGGTGAAGGCAGCGTGGATTATATATACATATGTATGTATGTACAAGTATGTATGTTTGTAGTTATTATGTTAAACGATTATACCAAACCCACGAACAAGCCCATTTTTTGCAAAAATTGCTTTATTAACTTCAATTCGAGAGGCTAATATTTCAATGTAATATGTTGGAGATGGACGTGGATTCAACTGATCAGTTTTTCTAAAGCTTGAAAATTAATGGTTTCTTCGGGAATAGGACCCTATAAAATATATACATACATATGTATATACATAAACCCTCAGCGTAACGAGCCGAGTCGATTTAGCCATGTTGGTCTATCTGTATACAATATGCGCGAAGTTTTGATCTATCGACCTGAAATTTTGCATACGTTCTTTTCTCCCCAAGAAATTGTCGGAACTGTCGATAACAACATAGCCTATAGCTTCCAAACAAACTGAACGATCAAAATCAAGTCCTTATATGGAAAACTTTTTAATTTGATAAAATAAAGGATGTGGTTTTTTTAGACTTGTGATTTTCCAGATGAAATGAAACGTATATAATATAATGTTATGGCCAAGGATTTAGCTTCATTTTGTTTTTCCATAATTATTTCCTGGAAAAGATTCGTAACACTTGTTATGCTATGTTATTCTTATTTACAATCGTGTAGTGCTGTCTAAATATATGTTGACCCATTGGAACTGGAAAAATTACCCTCGGAACAGGGAAGTCTAAATGAAACTTCCGTCTTTAAAATGGAAGTAACAAATATTGCAATGATGGGATCTCTGAAGGTCAACGCACATTGGAACGTAACATGAACGAAGTGCTAAAGGCTTTATCGATATTTTCTGATGATGAATTCTACTTAACCTAAAAACTAAAGTTATTTAGTTCAAACATTTTACTACCAACTTTGTGAAACAGATAAATGCTTGCCTAAAGGAAGCTTGGTCGATCTCTACAGAAAGGTTAAGCTATATTATAATTCTTATTCCACTCTAATTACATTCGAAAACTCAAACAAAAAAACATAAGCGAAGAACAATTTTTCAAATTCATGTATGTATGTATGTATGAATATAAAGTCATCAGGGCGTACTATGTAGCACAGAAAACAAAAACACGAAGCTCACCTCTTCAGATATCTCTCTACGAATAATTGTATATAATGTCCGGGAATAGCTTACCGATTACAGATAAAAAACTTATTTGCAAAAAATCAAAGATTGCGATAAGAGATTGTGAAAAAAGTGACAGCAATAGTAAACTATCAAAAATTCCTCTTTACTGTTAAAAAAAAAGCCATTAATGACGTCACGGAACAAAAGATTTTGTAATTTGCAATTTGTCAAATCTTTGAAATGCTCCTAACAAGTTTCACCTCGATAGGTGTTGCTTTCGAAATGAGTAGTCAACTAGAAGTGGGCGAACATTTTTTTTCGATTTTATTAGATTGATAATGAATGACATTGGATGGATAATGAAACACATGAACTATTTCAATTGCTAGAAAAACAAATATTTCCGGGAATACCGTGTCACGTGTTGTTAAAACGTTCAGCAAAGCCCTGACTTTCAATATGAAGCAAGAAATTGGTCGAATGAATGGTTTTAAGAACCCTGACGTAGCTAGGAAGGTACGCTTTTTACGAAAAATCCCAACATATTGGGGAAAAAAATAACGGAAAAACTACACTGTTCTGAAATGTTTGTCAGAAATGTTAAAAAAAAGGAGAAGGGCTTAATTTTTCAAAAATTCAGAAAGGTCCAGACAGGGATTTCAAAAAGAGCAGCACGGCAAAAGGTCGAGCAAAACAGCTTTCAGGTGTGGACTTTTATGTTGCAGATCATAGAAAGAATGTCCAAGAGGAGTTTAAAACACAAAAAAAAGACAAAGTTTCCAAAGAAATTTTTGGTTTGGCAAGCAATTTGTAGCTGCGGTAAAAGAAGCAGCTCTTTTGTTACAACTGATACTATCAACACTGATTTATACATTCAGGGGTGCTTTAGCCATTCATAAGACGACATGAGGTGTCCGTATTTTTTTGGCTCAACTTAACTTCATGCCATTAGCAAAACAGCAGTTAAGTGTTATAAGAACACTATAGCTTTTGTGCCAAGATATGCAAATCCACCTTACTGCCCGAAGCTCAGACCCATCGAAAGATATTGGACGCTGTTAAAAAGGGTTATGAAGAGCACAAAACAAGTTGTTGACACCACTAGCAATTTTTTCAAAAACAAAAAAAAAATGGTTTTCAACAAGCAAACAAATTACGGAAGATGCTATTTAGAGGCTAATGGGAGGTATATAGGAAAAAATTAAATTATTTATAAAAAATGTGTTTAAAAAATGTAAACAAATTTCTGTTAAAAAGCAGTTTTATTTTTATTTTCAACACATGAACTACTTCAAAAGCTATTTATTTAAATTGTTTCGTGCACTAATTTCATTGTGCGCAAGCCAAACTAAACTCCGAAGAAAAAACAGTGGTACGAAACTTATACCCTGAACAAGCTATATTAAGTTTGAAACGAAGTGTGTATCATCCAATTGGAAACGTCTGATAACTTATGAATTATATACATACATACATACATATGTACATATATAAATGATCAACTTGACGACAACGTCTCTGTATATACGTGAGCTATTCCCTTAGTTTTTGAGATATCGGATATCGAAATTTTGCAGACGTCTTTTTCTCCGCAAGTAGCGGCGGAACTGCCAATAACGGATCACTATACCATAGCTGTAGCTGTCATACAAGCTCAACAATCAAAATTAAGTTTTTGTATCGACATTTTTTTATTTTTAATATTATATCTTTAATAAGATATCTTCATGAAATTTGGCATAGGGTATTATCCAACGCTACAATATTCGAACTAATTGTTAAGAGCAAATCACTAAAGTATATAGCTGTCATACAAACTAACCTATCAAAATCAATTTTTGTATGGAAAAGTTTTTTATTTGACGAGATATCTTCACGATGTTTGGTATAGATTATTGTCTGAAGGGACGCTACAATTTCCGAAAAAATTTTCTGGATCGGAATACAATAGCATATTTGTATGTACATAGCTGTAATGCAAGCTAATCTATAAATATCAATTTTTGTGTATGGAAAACTATTTGATTTGACGAGATATCTTCCCAAATTTTGCATCAATTATTAACCAAGGCAGCGCAACAACATTTGAAGAACTTTTTTAGATCGAAGCATTATATCATATAGCTGTCATATAAACTGAACGATCAAACTCAAGTTCTTGTATGAAAACATCTGGATTTGTGAAGGCTATAATATGTAGCTTCGGTGTAGCCAAGTTAACGTATTCTTCTGTTTCTAATATACCAGATCACAACCAATTTTTCTTATTTAAACAAAAAATTGTACATAGCACACAGTTACTCCAAACTATACCGCCCTAATGTAATGTAATGTAATAAATAATGTGCATATTCAGTGTGTGTTTACGTCGTGACTTCTGGCGTCTAATGTAAAGTACAAATTTCGGAATTTTTCAGACAATCCTAAAATACGAACGTGAATTCTAGTAAATTCTTAAGCAAGATGCCAGTCGGCTAGCTAAATCAACAAGAAACTGCACAAAAAAGTCGAAATTCGTCAGCTAATTGATAAATTTGGAAACCAAACGAAACACATATGTGTTGATAAGCAACGGTAGGGCAAAAACGTGTGCAAAGAGGAGGACGATAAGACGGGGGCAAATAAATGAATTATTCGTGGCAATATTGTGGTGACTTTTTGCATAAATTAAATTTAAAAAAGATAATAATAATTATTATAACGAATTGCATACTTTTTCCTTGAAGGTTAATTCGCTGCTGCAACAACACGCGCTCAAGCACAGTGTGTTCTTCGTCAGCGACACGAATTACTGTTGTTATGTTTTGCGCGCCCGAACTGAACTTCGAGCGTTTGTTGGTAGTTTTTCACGTTTTTTTTTTCTACGTATGCTTATAAGCTTGTTTGTTGTTGTTGTAGCACGCGCGCACGTTTTTTGTTATTGTTTTTTTTTCTTCGCTTTTCTATTAAAACTACAATACAACGTGGTCGCAAATATTATTTATACACACTGAACGGTTTTGATGTGGACAATTTTACTTTTCGAATTTTCTAATTCACTCAAAAAACACGCAAACACACTTTAAGAATATTTCACATACACATGTACATATGTATATAAGTATGCATGTAGCATATAAACAAAGTATACACCATTCACTTCACGCAGTGAGTTTGAGCGCTGCCCTTTCGCATTTACACTTTTCACCAGCGCTTAAATTTGCACCACTTTGCAATTTTCATTGACTTTTCGAGAATTGAGGTTTTATACAAAATGCATGTAGCGAAAAAGCACGAAAGAAACGCTTAACTGGCACAGTGAAAATGCGGCTGCACTCACACGAAAAGACAAGAATTACACAAAAATATTTCGTTTTTTTTGATTAGCTAATTTGGAATATACAATCTTTTTTTTTTGACTCGTTACGTATCAGACGACGTATGCGGGTTGATATTCACTCACGTCGAACATGTGACGAACAACTGATGTGCGAACGAAGACGTTTTCTATACGAAAGCAGTCCGTTTGCCGAAATGTGTCCGCACAAACAAACTGAGTTCGCTGCCGCCGCTCGCCGAACGTTGAAAACCCCTGACACGCTCCACAAGCTGAGCAAAAGTAGTAAGTCAGCTGGCAAACAAATTGTATTAGCGTGAAGAATGGGTAAGAATGACATACTCAGCACACATACGTACATATGTATGTGAGCAGGCGCGACGAATGTAAATAGTGTTGGTGAAAAAATAGCAGTATATACAATACAGTTGGCTTTTATAACGTTAAAGCACTGCTCTCTTCTCAAAAAACACTTATGTGGGACTTACAACAAAGTTAAGTTAAAGTTCAATTCAATAGAATATATTATATAGATACCTCAATGAAGTGGTATAACTGGTTGCTATATTTATTTATTATTAGATTAATGTCACTTTTTTAGGTTTATACCAGTTAATTTGATTTATACCAGTTTTATGTTGGTTCGACTACTCTAACAGGCTAATTGAAATTTTAGATTTATGCCACTTTATTAAATTTATACCAGTGTATTTTGGTATAATAATTTATTTGATTTTTACCAGTTTATTTGATCAAAGTACTATGAATTGTGTACCATATACCAGTTTATTGTATCTATGCCAATTTATTTATTTATACCAGTTTATTTGATTTAAAAAACTTTTTAACTTATGCCAGTATATTTGGCTTATACTACTTAATTTGATTTTATGTCAGTTTTTTTGCTTTATACCCCTTTATTTAATTTATGCCGATTTATTTACCAAATATTTCTTAGTATATTTGAAGTGCTGCCGATAGCTTGAAGCTCAAAGATGAAGCGTAAAACTTCCAAACCTGGACATTAAAGCTTTTGTAAAAGCGTATAAAGATCAGGAAAAGCCGCTTGAATATAAGATAATATTCAGCGAGCGTATAATATTAAACTTGTTTTTTAGGGAAATGAAGATAGTCAATACTCCAGTCTCCAGATAAATACAACAATGTTAAAATCACCAGAACGTAAATACAATCCTAAATAAACCAATTAAGTTACCTTGAGCATCGAGTTTTAATTTAAACGGAATGGCTTTGGACTGTTTTAGACACAAATTCTACTTTGATTAGAACTATACTTAAAAACGGTTCATGGCTGGGTAAGGGAACATTATTTACATATACTCGAGAATATTACTATTACAAGTAAGCCTTTATAAAATCATATCGAGATTTGCTAAAGATAATTTGGCGCGGAAATGAAGGCATATTAAGTGGTGCAGGCGACGCAATATCATATTGTTTGGGAATAATGTTGGTCGAAATTACAAGAAAATACCCCAAAATATGGAATGACCCCTCTTAAATAATAAACCTTCAGTTAAGTGGGGTGAATTCGATTTTCTTTCGTGTTCTTGTATCAAAAAAGCCAAGAGTAAAATTGTCCAAATTCTTGAAGCGAGGATGTTGGGGAAAAATTAATGCTTTATGGTAGGGTCCCATTTGGACAATGAAGTTAAATGAAAATTTAACTATTTAAACTATCTGATGACAAAGCTTTCTCATTTGTCTGATCATAATTAGATTACAAAACTTTAGAAGGCAGTGGTTTGTTTTTTTAGCATTGTTTGCAATGATGTATTTTTTAATTTTTAGAGTCTTGGAGTCGTCCATTAAGGTCTTAAGAATTTTAAAAGCTTATAATATTTTCGTATTGCTCCCACACATATTAATAATGCTATTATTTTTACTGCCACTGTACATATACATACATAAATAAATACCAATATGGAATTAATCTTATACATATGTAACTGTATGTGTCTGGCGTGTAGAGCAAAAGTGGGCGCAAGAACATATAGAAAAGCCACGACAACAACAAAACGGTCACGTTAAGATTTAGTAATCATACTTGTAGAAAGAAAATCAGCAGCAGAGCTACATATAAATCGCGAATACATACATACATACATATGTACATGGCAGCAAAGAAACCAAATAAGCAAATCAGCTGTCGAGGAAAGCAACAAATACACATGTAATTATATAGGTGCCACTGCTGATGTGTGCCCTAAAAAGAGTCGGGTAAAGAGAGTGAGCGAAGAGAGAGCGCGCGCGCACAGGAAAGCGCATATGTGATGTAGTGACACAGATAAGATGAAATTAATGAAGTAGAGGCCAAGATACGGCTAGGGAAAGGTAAATTTTAGAAGAGCATATAGGAAACAGACTTTTGAAAGAGATAAAAGCACGACTTTCTCACGTTAATAGAGAGCGTGAAAAGATGAAACGCAAGCGTGGTACGTAAAGGCGATCGCGTGAGGGGGAGATAGGTAGAAAAGGTAAAATTGGGGTAAAACACGTTTCGTAAGCGGTCGTTAATAACAATTAATTATTATAAACGGTTATAGTACTTGGCGAATCAGAAGTTTCGATCAGTACATAACGGGTCATACATACATATTTGTGACTGTCAAATAAATATTTGTGATGTCCGATGTAATGTCTGGAATGAAGTGTCGTCATTGATAAACAGTTTGAATGGAGGTGGCCGAAAGAAGGAAGGAAGGTTAGGGCATAATATTTCTCAGGAAAAAAATTAAAAAGGTGTTGAGTGACTCTATGTGAATGCCAAGCATCTGCTAATAAGACCTATGAGTAACCTATAATAAGAAAAGGCTTTTTTCTCTGGTTTCGCCCAGCTGAAGTAGATTTTTGGAGTGATGATTTGTGCGTCATTAAGAGGCTTTTTACAACCATAACGGTTTTCTGAATGTACTGAGTCTTACTCATCTGCGTTTAAATTTGTAGTTCCATACCGGTGTTTAAATGAAGGGCCACGCTTCCGATACGTGTTGTACCCCGAATTCCTTTTGTCTTAGAAATTGTTAGTAACATTTCTTTTTCTTTTCTAGTATCGCTGTTTTATAACTATATGTTTCAAAAGGATAAAGTCAGGGAGACATTAAATTGGTCTAAAGTAGAGATCACAAAATCTGTTGGAGGTTTAATAGTAGTCTAATTATTGCTAAGTTCAACACACTTTTACGAGCAATTTATGTTTAGATCACAGTTGGTGAGCATATCTCGTTGTAAATAATCTGCCGAGGTTAACTGGTTCTAAAAATGGAGCAATTGCAGAGAGAGATAGATAAAGAGAGAGAGAGAGAGGTAGAGAATGAGACAGAGTGATTGGAATAAGAATTTAATTTTGGCATTTGTAGAATAAAACCATGAGGCTGAATTTTACAAATTTTTTATCGAATTGATATATTTTTTATAACTTAACCGGTATTTTATCAAGCAAAAAAAAATTATACCCATAATAATTAATAAGAAAAACAAAAATTATTTGTTCTAATACCAATTAACAGGACCGTAGGAAGAAAAAGGGGGATGCTCGTAGAGAATTGTTGGAGAAAAAATCTGCAAAAAATTATTGCAGAGCACCGGGTTCCCAATACTCGCGTTCACCAATAACAATACTACGCAGAGTGCCAAAAGCAAAGGGCATAATGAGCATTACTGCATTAATAGAAAGAGAGTGGAAAAGAGAAGCGAGTAGTCACGCAACGTACCGGAAAATACCGTAGTGAATTACTTCGTAAAAAAATAACACCTTGAAAATTTGTCATGCGGTTCAAGTGCGCTGATCAACAATAAAAAAAAGAAACACGTTCGGAGTGGGTGTAAGTTTGGCGCTATTATTTATAAGTAGTACTGTATACAGTTGTTGGGTATTAAACTTGACAACATGAATACATTTACATACACATATGTACATAAACAGAGTAGGTGTATAAATGATTTGGAAATTGGCACTGAATTTTTTGCATTGTCATAAATGTTTTGAGATGTCAAGTACCGGAATTCCGAATAAACGGGATTTCCGATTGAATTTTTTTTTTTTAATTTTATACTTACCAGTAAAAAATTTTAACATTATTTTAAAATTTCTCAAAAATTTGCTTTTTTACATTCCCGAAATTTCGGGATTCGTTCATATAATTTGTAATTTCGCGATTTTTGCACAGTTAAAAATATTTTGAGATGTCCAGTACCGTGATTATGAATCCCGAGTAAACGGGACTTCCGATCCCGAATTACGGCATTGGTTTTTTTTTTTTTATTTGCTATTTGAAATTCCCGAAACTTCTGGATTCGTTTACTATCTACCATGTGTTTTGTACATATATATATACATATGTATGTATGTATGTATGTATATATTTATGTACTTATGTATGTCTTTACACCCTGTTTCAAAATTATATGTAGTTTATATTTGCGGCAATATGTTAAAAGAGCTTAACTCAATTTACAGTAAAGTAGATATATTGATTACTAGTAAATAATTTAGGCTAAACTGGGAGATATACATACATATGTTATATAATACAAGTACGTGTTGTCCGACTTTGTTTATTTTCACTGTTAATGTTAAGTACGAGTATATGTTACAGAACAGTTCTGCAAAATTAGGAGCTCTTAGCTTTTTAATTGTAGGCATTATTCCAGATTAAAAAAGAAAGAAAGATATGTGATATAATTGTCCGATTTTCTCCATTTTCACTTTCAATGTTAAGTATAACTTAGAGAAAAGTTCTGCAAGATTAGCAGTAAAGTGGAAAGTAAAATAACTGCATAATCGGTTGTATGAGAGATATGTGGTATAGTTGTCCGATCTGGCCGATTCCGACAAATGATCAATAGAATCTCAAAATGTACCTATATATTATATTTCATTCGGATATCTCAAAAACTGACGAAAAAAATTTTATAATCCCAAAACAAAACTTCACTTAACAAATCGCTGGCTCGAATTAGCTTAGACTTACATATATTTTCTTAGGCAAAAATGTTCAGAATGATCCATAAAACATTTGCTGCAAAAGCGATTTTTTAGGAAAAAAATTGATTTTTTTGTTTTGGAAATTCACAAGTGGATATAATCGCTTAAGTCGACTTAAGTCACTTTTACATATCATCACTGCTATATTATAGCTACATGCTCAATTCATATACATACATACATATGTATATTTTAGATTGTATGCGTAATTGTCGTTATTTGAAAAATGTGCTATTTTTTGGCGGAATTCTAATGTGCTTACATACATACATATTTACAAGCATATTTATAGACATTTCATACTTGTACATACATATGCATGTACATATGTTCATATGTATGCAGCACATGTGCTTTAGCTTTTAGTAGCTGTGATATCTCAGAGGTGTGCTTCCGGTGGCGATTTTATTGTTTTGTTGTTCTATCAAAACAAAAAAAAAAAAAAAAAAAAAAAAAAAACAAGAAATAGCAATTCTTAGGGAAACACTTTCTCGTTTTCTTATGATTACGAGCTTCCTGTTCAAAATTTACTAATGAATTCTAACTGATGAAAACGCTTAGAGTAATAAATTTGCATTAAAACATAATGAGAAAAAAGCTAAGTATCGCCATATGTACGTATGTAAGTATATTAGGTTCTTAGATGAACTCTACAATTAGATAACGTAGAAATATACATACAAGTACATATATATGTACTATATACGGATCAACTAGACGCCTAGAATTGGCAGCCGCTGGTTCCGCTTTTTAAAAACTATTAATGGGTCAACACTGCTTGGATATTCATTAACAAAACGCTTGAGCCAACTTTTTTTCCGGATCATATTTCTCATAGCTTTTAAATGTTCAGAACCCTTATAGCTTCAAACTTAACTGTCACGTGAGACATCGGAACATAAATTGTTTGCTTGTTAAAACTTTTTCGACAAAATAGAAATCTCTCTGGATGCAGGGAGAGCAGAAAAGGACCTGCAATAGATCTATCTTCGAAACCTTGCCCTGAAGTCAAGCGAAAGCGGTCCCGTGGCAAGTGAAAAAACTATGATAGAAGGGGGGAGTGTTTTAGTGGATAAATCACTCAAGTACGATGACGATCCCTGTATGGTGCGAAGACATATATATTAAACCCTCCTTACGGTCTAAAAAAAATAAACGAATATTCCAACTTCTTGTTTCATTTATCTTTTCGCTTTTTTTCGTAATCGACATAAGCCTAGTAAACCGACACTTCACTCACCTCCAAAAACTAACTCTATAAACAAAAATTATTAAGAATAGTAATAACAATAAAAACTTTGAACAAAATTAATGTTACTTTCGTTTGCTAACTTAAAAAACTTGCAAAAACATTTTATAAAAAATTGCTCTTGTTTACAATCAACAAAAAATAGGTACATATGTTTGTATATACACACTTCCAGCTTAAACAACAACAACAGATGCGAAAAATGGGGGAAGAACAACGACCTTAGAGGAGTATATTTACAACAACATATAGACATGCATATGTATCTATTTATATATTATAGTATATGCATATATGTATGTATTATCTCTAAATATTATATTTGCTTGTAGGATATATTTCTTACGCATGTACATATGTATTGTATGTATGTATGCATGTTTGCTCATACAAATTCACGCAATAGACCAGTGCCTGTATGCTTTTCATATATTTTTTTAAAGATATTAATATTGTTTTTGTACGGAAATTCCGAAACTGCGTCAAAATAAGTTCCTATTTTACAACAAAGACTAAACATATGTAAATATGTTGATACAAATGTTCTTATGTATGTATAGGTATATACATATGTATGTATATATATGTCAACGGGTTATTTTGTAAAATGATAATTCATATGGCCAGTCATAATATAATAGAGGAAAACGGCAACGCGGGAGAGCGGAACTATTATATGAGGTCAACAACTGAGTGTAATAAAAAATTGTAGAATTATGCTCAGAAACGCGCTCACAACAAAACTACAAATCTATAATACTACAATAAAAAAAATTAAAAGTGACTATTACATATACATATATCATATAAGTACATATGTAAGCTAAATATTGTAACTCAAGTGTTCGTGCTTAGTGGCATAACTAACTATATGGCCGGCATATTTTTTTATTGTTAAGAATATGCCAACAAAACAAAACCCCAACAAAAATAGATATTTCTAGTAAATTTCCAATAGTCAACAGTTGTGAAGCCAATGTATGCGTCAGTGTTGTTCTTGCGCTCCACAACAAGTGATAATTTTATATATTTTTTTCTTCTTTTTACAATCTCTTTCTATATTTTTTTTGTTTTCATTTTTGAGTTTTTGCCGCTCACCATTTCAGACGCACACACTCACTCACTAATACTCACAATCTCAAATAAAAAATAATAATAAAAAATTAACTAGAGAATTTGGAAACCACGTGGTGGTGGTGGTGGGTAATAGAAAGTTAATAAGTTGCTGAGCTACATACATATCATCATAAACCGCTGAAAGTCATTTCGACGCAAGGTGAAGAAGCCGCAACATGTGCATAGTGAGCAAAATATTTAAATTTAATAGTAAAAAGCAGTGGCGAGTTACTTGAGTGAAGCACCGTTTAAAATTACACTGAGTGTGGTGAGCAACTGCTTATATTTGTTAATGCTAAATGAAATAATTGCGTTTTTTATTTTATAATTTCAATCTTTTAAGTGCTAACACACACTGTTGAAGTATTTGTAAGAGTTAAGTTGGTTATGTAGCGGCAATTAGGCTAAGCATGTGCTTTCGGTACGGTGCTCAGCCTAAAATTAGGCAATCTTTTTGGTTCTTTTCTTGCATATTAGTGAACTGATCGCACAAAACGTTGAAGGTTTGCAAGCAATTACCACAAACGTATGACGTGTAACACATGTTTATTTAAGAAATTCTGATATATTTCATTTGTCGCAATAAATTTTTGTAAGGAAAAGTTTTTTATTTGACAAGATATCTTCACAAAATTTGGCATAGATTATTAATCAAGGCAGCGCCACAATTTTCGAAGAAATTTTTTTAGATCAGATTACTATAGCATACAGCTGCCATACAAACTGACCTATAAAAATTAATTTTTGTATGAAAAAGTTTTTTATTTGACAATATATCTTCACGATATTTATAATAGAGTATTGTCCAAGGACACGCTACAATCTCTAAATAAATTAGCTGTCATTCTTTATGTTATAAGAAACGCACCTGTGAAGGGTTTATAGTACAAGAAAAATGTTGTAAGCCCCAAAAATATTTTTTAATTATTTAAATGCATATTTCAACCTTATAATATGGAAATTTATAATTTTTGAAAACAAAAAAACACAAAGCATTTCAAACATGAATATTTTTTAAATTGTAAAAAAAATTTAAAATTTTATTAAAAAAAAAAAGATAATATTTTTAGTTAACATATATATTACCGCCTAAATAAAATATGAATTTTGCGTCACCACTGTAATAAAGCGTTGTGGTAATATTATTAAGCAAAATATATATTAATTACAAATAAAATTCAACAGTGAAAGAAATTTTCATATGTTATATGTTCGAAAAATCAATGCAATATATTTAAAATTTATTTATTTCAAAAATATAAATTATTATTATTATTTAAAGAAGCAATTCAATATCTTTACCTTTAAACCTTTAAACTATATTATAAAAATTATGTAATAGCAGCTCTTTTGATAGTTTTTTGAGTTAATAAAAAAGGATAATATAAAATAATAATTATTTTGAAGAAAACATATTTCAAATGAAATAAAATGCCAACGAGTAGCTGCAAACGATCAATCAAACTAAACTTAAAATAAGAATTACGTAAAATTTTGACATTTTGTTATAGTCTGTCTGTATATTAGCGAACTAGTCCCTCAGTTTTTGCATACGTTCTTTTTTTCAAAAGAAGCTGCTCATTTGTCAGAACCGTCGATATCGGACCACTATAGCATATACATAGCTGCCATATCAACTGAACAATCGGAATCAAGTGCTTGTATGAAAAACTTTTTTATTTGACGAGATATCTTCACGAAATTTGGCAACTATTATCTTCCAAAGCAGCGATACAATCTCCGAATAAATTGTTCAGATCGGACTACTATAGCATATAGCTGCCATACAAACTGATTGATCAAAATCACATTCTTGTATCGAAAACTTTTTTATTTGGCAAGATTTCTTCATGAAATTTGACTTGGATTTGTATGTTAAATATGTTATTGTAAATGTCAATAAACTACACAGCAAGCCACACATGCACTATTTTCTACAAACTCTACGTAAGACAAAATAAAAACAAAGCAACTAATACCTTCGAATGTTAGGAAGCAGCATGTAATTCTTATATAATAACTAGAAACTGCATGAATTAAAAGTAACTGATTTAAAAAACGCCAAAATATGTTGAAATGCTTATAGACACAAGCGCCAACGACGCAGAAATGAACACATTACTCAGTAGCTGCAAGGAGAAAAAGCATTAAAAAAAATTTGAAAATTTTGATATAAAAAAATTATTCAATTGCCACCTTATCCTGCCATTTGCGATTAGCAATACACTTGCTGTACGGCATGCTAGTAAAGGAGACGCTGTTGTAGAGCGGCACCCAAACGCTGGGGAACAAACGGAATAGCTGTGTGTCAAGCCATTTGCGGCAGCGAAAGCTAATGCGTTTCGTAAGATCACGCATCTGAATGAGAGTACAGATGGTTATTTTTAGTTTAGTATTAAATCGTAAAATGTATATGTTTTTTGCGCACCTCGACATAATTGTACATGGCCAGGTCGCAAATGGCATGCGCATCGCGCCAACGCAACTCGGTAAATTGCTCCAATATTTCGGCGGTACTTAGATTAGGCTGATTGAAGAGCGACATAAGCAAAGTGCAATCTTCCATGCCGGCATTTAGACCTTGGCCATAGTAGGGCACCATAGCGTGTGCAGCGTCGCCGAGAATGAGCGCCTTGGCGCCATAATGGTAGGGATGACACTGAGGATAGTAAGAAAATGAGTAGTTAGAATTTGAAGTTGAGTTTGAGTCACTTTGTATTACTGCTTACCTTCACCGAAACCAAATGTTGTGGTCGCATTTTAAAGAAATCCTTAACCAGTTGCTCCTCGCCAATCAGTGGCACTGCATCAGCGTAGTATTTTTGGAAGAAACTTAATAATTCTTCAGTGGTGCGTATGGTGTCGAACACCTTGAATGGCATCGATAGCGTAACTGTAAAAGATTTATCTTGATTGGGCAGTGCAATCATCATGAAAGCATCACGTGGCCAGATATGCAAGTAATTCTCAGGCATTTGGAACTGTAAGAATAATATAATAATTAATAAAATTCAAAATAGCTTTGAATATGTAAATACCTCGCCATTCTTCGCTGGTATGCAAAGCTCTAAATAACCATGTTCGATGTACTCTTGCGAATAATTGACGCCAGGTGCTTTGACCATTTGTTGACGGATTGTGCTGAAGGCGCCATCACAGCCTATAACCAAATCGGCGGAGGCTTCTACTATTTCTTTTGTGGATGCGCTGTAAGATCACAAAATAGTGATGTATTAGTAAAAGAAAGCGTTATAGAAAGAAAACAGAGCTACATAATATATAAAGTTTCAAAAATCATATTTCTATAAAAGGAATAAAAAAATGTCAACTCACCGCTTGAATTCCATGCGACCCTCCGTCAAATTCACATAGTGCAGCTTATGTTCAAAATGTTGTTGAATATTGGGAAATTTTTCACCCGCTAAGGGCAGTAATTGAGAAAAAAAATTTAAAATATTAAAAAAAAATTTTATTACAAAAATTTTTAAATACAAAAAATTTAATTATACTAAATTTTAAATTCTACAAAAATTGTTTATTATAAAAAATTTTATATTATATAAAAAATTTCAAATTATAAAAAAATGCCTAATTTCCACCCACCATTCAATAGCACTTCGTTTAAATACTTTCGCCCCACCGAGTAGAGACACTGATTTGTACAGGGATCATACAGTACCACCGTACAATTGCCTTTGATATCGTGCAACATGCGTCCACGCATGGGTATCGCTGTTTCGAGCACCTCCTGCTCCAGCCCTACCTCGGCTAGTGATTTACGGCCACGTTGCGACAACGCTAAGTTAATGCTGCGACCTTGTACCAGCTCCGCGGTGCGTATATCCTCACGATATTCATATAAATGTACCTCGTGACCGCGTCGTGCGAAACTGAGTGCGGCTAATGAGCCGACCTATAAATAAAAAAAGGTGGTTAGTATGAATGGAATGTTGGACCTACTATTTATGTATAATATATAAATTAAACTGTACACACTGGTGTACATGGAGTATGAATAATTAATATTAAATAAGAGCGTTAAAATTCTTCAAAATAAAAAATATTTATACTTTCGAAGACAAATTTTAAGACATTGAGTGCTTATATAACCATTACAAGATTTTTATCGAATATTTCTAAAAATTTAAACAGATCATTAATTTTTAATTTAGCATCACTCTCTAAATGGTATTTTAGACTTTACAACCACAAAAAAACCGAAACGGGTTTCAAAAACAAGTTTATATATTTCGCATACCCTGAATAGGGTATATTAAGTTTTCCACAAAGTTTGTAACACCCAATATAAAGTATATATACCATATAAATAATGAGCGTAGTAAAATCTGAAAAAAATTGTTCAGATCAGAACACTATAGCGTATAGCTACCAATCAAACAGATCGATCAAAATCAAGATAAAAATCTTTTTCTACCCTTTCAAGTTATAAAAAATGCTCCTGTGAAGGGTATTATAGCTTCGGTTAAAAGTAGTAAATAACGTTTCAATGCATACACGCTGTCAATCAGCTATCAATCAATAGCTAAAATATACTAAAAGAAAGAAAATGTTTAAAAACGTGTAACAATTCTATGATAATGATGCTTCTGCACCTCTGATCGACAATGTCAATGCAATATTGCTCTTATCAGCGATTTGACTTTATCACTTATAAGTATGCCGACTTTATATGAATGCCTGGAATTACGCTTTTATTTGTTTGTAGTATTATACTATGTATAATTGATTATAATTTTGCATAATCGAACCACTTGTATCCTTGACAGAAAATGGAAATGATTTTTTTTTCCAAACTTGTGCTAAATAATTCTAATAATAAATATATTCTGATCTATTATTCAGATTGATTTGTAGTAAAAGTGGATTGTGACAATGTAATATACACATTTAATTTAATTGATAACTATTAAACAATTATAAACACATGCATTACTTTAGTTGCATGTAAATGAGTTTTTAAATGATTAGTTCATTTATGGAAATCTTGAAAAGTTGTTTTTATTATTTCTTTTAGTTTAAAGGCGGCGTAAATCCTTCGAGTCATATACATATGTACATGACCTGATGATTGGCTGTATTCAAGTTTTTGTAGATTTTCGTTAGCTTTGATCCAACAATAGCAAGGATTTAGTTAATCCCGATTTAAATAATGTTGAGCTACATTCTTGTGATTTTTAAACACTATAGTATCATTTTGAAATAACTTTATGGTCGCAGGACACTTCAGATTGCGAGTATATACAGCTTTTTGGAACTTGTAAATTTATTAAATAACTCGTAAATATATTTTTTAATGTTTCAGTAATCTTGAAGTGAAAAGCAAAAGTATAACTTTTTATTAAATTTAGCTTATTTTACAATTTGATAACAAATTAGAAGCCAATAATAAAATCTATATTCGAAACAATAATCTCTAAAAACTAACTCACTTAAACATTCTTTTTATATAAACCCAGATGGTTTATTTTCTTAAATTGTTGTTATTTAATTTTTCATACACACTTTGCCAAAAAACTAATTCCACTAAACTCACTCACCAAACCACCGCCAATAATAGCAACTTTAAGTACCGCGCATGATTGTAAAACGTTTCCATTTTCCATTAATTGCGGTATAGCATGCGACATTTTGGCTTACACTTCAAACAAAAAATATTACCAAGTTGAAAGCACTATTATTTTGAAATGCTAACTAACTGTTCTACCGTTACTAAATCAAATAAGAGAGTGCTACTATTAAGCGCATAACTTGCCGCCGCGAAAGATTAGAATACACTGAATAACACTGTGCAGCGAACACCAAGCATAAGACGAAATCATTATTTGCACATGATAATTGAAGAATGTGTATAACACTACTTTTGCAACTATAAAGTTCAAGCCACACTTTGTCTCAAACAACACTACAACAAATAATTTCGGGATACTTTTATATGTCAACAGCTGTGGCTGTGACCGCAATTGTGTGTTAGGAGATGCATATTAGAAATCGCCTACTAGCACACATAAAACCTCGAAGAGTACGACGTATGAAACCGAAACCCAAGAAGCCTTAGGAATGATTTACTTTAATTTTTAGTAGCATTTTTATGTTTAATTTACAGCACTTGAACCACAAACTGGTCTTCTGATATGCAACAAATTGTTGTTTTTATGGTGAATACTGTAGTTCTTATCTCAATCTCTTAGATAGCAATCTTAATTTCTGGTAGACGTTATATTTCAGCATTCTTACAGACGGGTAGTCTTAAAAGATTTTGGAAATACATGTGTGTTGCTAATCCAAAAAAAAAACTTACTTTTGCTTCCTTACAATAAATTAATTTTAAATTAAGAAACACCCGCTGTTGTGATATGTAGATTGCAAGTAGCGCCTACGGCTGTGTAGCAACTCCGAGTTACTCTCAATATGCGTTCATTTGTTATTGAGCTGTTGTCTATTGGCGTTTCCAATGATAAGCGTAAGTGCGGTGCGCGATTCCAATATTCACCCAGAGCTGGACGCATGCCTACACAGCCAGCTGGATTTAGTGGCGCGACTATCATTTCAAATGGTTCGCTCATTTCTTCATTACCTATAATTTTAAAGCTTATTATTTTATCCTTTCATAGCAATACAAATTATTATAGCGGTGCATGCCTAAATCTTCATTTATTTGTTGCTCTTCCTCAATGTTGACTAACAAATTAACGTATATGAAAGCAATGTGGTGCTCTTTAGATAATTGGTAAACTAAATTGTTTAGTTTTGCCAGCAAATATTTTCCTAAAATAATATTTTTAAAATATTATAAAACATTTATAGAATCTGTCAAAATTTGCAAACCTTTAAGACAATCCGCTTCGCTGCGATATGTAAAAAATACAGCCGGTAATGCATCGATGATAACCAATTTTATTTTACCGCCGTCAGCATCAGCACCAGCATTCAATTGCAAATCAAGCTTTTTCAATATGGCGCACAAACCTTCGGCAGTGCCTGTGCGCTCAACTAAAATATCTTGCATTATACGTCCGCAAATATTATTTGCCACATGACGGCAGCGTAGCATTTCCATGATGCGCGTACCAGAGAAGTCGCATTTTGTATCTATATATAAGACTGTGCCTTGAGGTTGTACCGCGAAATTGAAAGCAATTGTATGGCACAATTGAGTTTTGCCAACGCCTGACTTGCCGCATATTTCCCATACACTGCCAGTTTTCAACGGTGTTTTAGCCAACACAATATCTAACCTGTTGGCAGTAAAATTTATTAAGTTTTTTTTTATAATTTATGTGTATCGTACTTACTTTTCAATACCGGTGTTATAAATTTTGGTATACGCTTTCCAATTATTCAAATTATTTTGCTGAAGGTGGAAGTAGTCATTTCCAAGTTTTTCTTTTAACTCCAATATGGCGGCTTCCGTAAGACCCGTAATTTCCATTAATTCCGCATTACTTGTAATGAGCAATTCATATCTGGTGGAAATACCTTTCTTTTGCAACTTCCTTATAAGATAAGTGGATAACCCAAGTCCATCAAATTTCTGCAAATCGGCCATAATACAACAAGATTCTATAGTTTTAAAATTTTTAAAGTTCGCGACAGTATGCAAATGAAGCCAAAATTAGGCGCTAAACAGCTGCAAATGCTAATCTATTGAGTGGAGAACCTGTTCGATAAATCGATAACCAATTTATCAAATTGGAAACGAATTTCCTGATTTACAGTACATCTACAATAATTATAACAATTGCTAATTATAATAATTATAAAATGGAAAACGATTTCATTTACGATTTAAAAGATATTGTCTAAATTTTAATTATAATTGATAAATTGTTAACAATACCGGCTCGTACTTCAATATTATTGACAGTAATCTTTACGTACCAATCCATGCAACTCTACATAAAGATGGCTGACAAAGTAGCGGACGAAACGCAAAATGGATGGTTCGCTGGCTGATTTTTCACTTCGCCGTTTCAGTTTCCGTAATGTTCTCAACGCGTTCAGAAGTGAAATGCACATTGGTGCGCTTTGTGTTTATGTGAGAATTAAAAATTGAATGAGACGGAACATACGGTGATTTGTGCGTGTGAAGAGTACAGCATATGCTGAAATCCGGTGAAGCGCAGAAAATTTCCATAGATTTTTACATCGAATTTGAATGGTGATTTTTGTGGAGAATAGTGTAAATATAATAAAAAATTTTGTGTTCCGATTGAAATTGAAGCTTAAAAATTCAAATTGTCATTGAATTTTGGGCAGATGTCTACAGGAAAACCAGAAATTTCGTGATTGAAAAAAGCTGTCTGAGGTGAGTTGAAATGGTCGTTGTGCTATTCATTCGTTTGTTCGGGATAGAGAAAATTCGATTAGAGCAGTGTTGCATTTGCAGTACGTAAATATAAAATATTCGCAGTTGATATATGGCATAGTTAAGAAAAAGTATGCCAATAGAATAAATTGTGTGTATTCTTTAACTAAAACATTAATTTATTTAACGGGCTGTATTAAATCGTTAGGTTTGCCGTCAGAATGGACTAGTGCAAAAAAGTGTATATAGTTGACAACCCTCAATGTGGCTTTCGGCAAATAAAATATCAATATGGCCGCCGCACAAAAACAGGGAAGTCGTTTGAAAGTTGCGCGATGTTGTTTCGTTACTCAATCGTTCTCAGCACAGTGTTGTCGTTGTTGTTTTTTATTTGCTAAATTGGTAGCAATTTTTTAAATGAATACATTGAATTTAAATTTTATGCATTCCAATAAAAATTTACATAAAGTGCAAAATCTTTAAAACAAGTATATTTTATTATGGAAAATATAAGCATCTGCCTTATAAAAATTTAGCCCATACTGTTTTTGATTTCGGGTTTAAGATAAAAATTAATTGTTAAACACAAAGTAAATGTTTTTTATAAAAATATCAATGCAAATCGCATTGTATTTTAGATTTCTATATAATACATTACAAATTTAGGTACATAATTTATAAGATTTATGTCTAATATAAATTTTATATTTGGATTCTTATATTTTATGCATATATATTTTGATCTTAATTATTATTATTTTATTTTTTAATATATATTTTTACACATTGATGTTAATTATTGTCTCTGATAATTTGTTCAAGTGTTTTAATTATATATATTATATATGGGCTTGGTATTTGGAAGGCTTATTGCTTTTTTCCCTAAATTTAGCAATTGTCTAGGGTTGGGCGGTAAAAATATTGTTTGTTTTGGAAACAATTTTGGATAGATTTTCACAACAGAATATGCTTATCTTTTTAGCTGAAAGCAAAACGTTCTCTTATCTCCCCTTGAAAAGGCTTAAAATTTGAAACAATCATAAGTTCTAGACTGCGCTTTGATTCAAATTATAGAAACAAAAAAGAAAATTGAAGACCGAATGCGAAATAAATATAATTTTAATCATACATATGTATGTATGTAGGTTTATGTTATGCATGATTTTTTTAATAAACTAATCCGGCGAAATTTTTTGTTGAAAATTGTGGATCATTTGCAGTTTTATGTATGTATGTACACATGGCTTTAATTTCCTGCAATCTAATAAGTGAACATGCATACAAACACATACATGTACATTAAAGAGCAAGAGCACTCTGTGTTATCATTAAACTGTGTGATAAAACAATTTATATTCTTGCGAAATTAAAGCATTTTTAATTTACTTATAAATTATTTTAAATTTATAATTAAATGTGAAATAATGCAACATTGTATTTATGTTCAAAGTTCAATAATCTTTTTAAATGAACATCTGAAATTGCAAATTTTTTTTTATATATAAAATCATTACTATTGATAGGTATTTAATTTAAAGAACCTTGCATGTCTGTTTCCAACTCATGCGTTTAAAGTTCAAATACTCAAACTTGAAATAACGAACATTAAGCGTACAAAATGTTAAAGGAAAGAGAAATTGTGCAGTAGTCATTATAAATCAATATTTTTGAAAGAAAAATTTAATGTAAATAAAATATTAATATTAAATAAATTCTCGGTATAAGATTGTTAAAATCTATTTCGGTTAAATTTGTCTTAATATATTGTATAAGTACAGACATACATACATAAATTATACCTAATATGAATATACATATATGATTATAACCAAAAAATTGCTGCTTTGTAAACAAATAATATTTTATATATTAAATTATTGCATTTATTATAAATGTAAAAAAAACAAGGGGATGATTCAATATTTATTATATTCGAAATGTTTAGATTATGGAACAACAAGAAAGTAATTAATATACATATAAAAATTACACTTAAACTATTGAACCGATTTTAGTAAAATTTTGCACACTGTCCAGTTTGATCTACTTTAAATGATAGGGATATTTATATCTCAATTATGTTAAAAGTACAACAATTCATAAATAAACAAAATATATTTCTAAACATAAGCATGTGTTTAATATATAATTTTTAGTAAAAAATTTGTAACACCTAGAATCATCGGAGACTATAATATATTTATATACCATATGTATGTATAAGTGATTAACGTGACGAGCTGAGTCAATTTAGCCATGTCCGTCTCTCTGTTTGTATGTGCACCCGAACACTTTCAGTTTTTGACATTCTTTTCTCCCCAAGAAGCTATCATTTGTCATAACCGCCGATATCGGATAGCTATAGCATATAGCTGCCATACAAACTGAACAATCACGATTATGTTATTGTGTGAAAAACTATTTTGTTTGAAAAGATACCTTCACGAAATTTGGAATATATATAGATTAATGTTCAAGAGAAAGATACAATCATCAAACAAATTGTACAAATCGGACTACACAGCCATACATATACATATGGTACATACATACATATGTAGCTGTCATAGAAACTGATGCATCAAATACAAGTCGTTGTATGGAAAACATATTAATTTGTAAATGGTATAGCTTTGGTGCAACGGAAGTTAACGTGTTTTCTTGTTGGATTTTGTAATTTTACATTCAAAAAATACTAATTTAAAAGTGCGTTTTATTTTGAGCGAAAAAAATCATAAATACAGATTGTTCGTGATTTTTTTTATTTTTGCTCAAAAATTATGAAAATACATATATGATTTATTATAAAATTAGGCCCCAATTACGGTTTTCCACCCCACTGCATTTTGGTTGAAGTTTTGAAATTCGTTTTATGATTATCAACTCAATTCGTCAAAAAATATTTGGTTGAAGTGTTGTCAAACTTGGTTTAAAATACTGTAAAAATAAAATTAAGGGATCGTGGAAAGTGTTTCGAACATAAAGAGCTGATACAATGTACTATTCCTAGGCATATACTTTTTGAGTAAATTTTTGTAGCGTTTTGCTCCACTTCAGTCATTTGTGTTTTATCCACAAAGCAGAAATATAGTGTTCATAATATTTAAAAGCAGGTTTTGTAACAACCATAGATATCGTAGGTTGCTTCAGCCCAAAGTTAAAATAATTTAAAATTGCGAGATTGTGGTAATGTTCCTTCATCTCATTTAATAAGAAACTAAACAATTGCTCATTTAAACGAAAATAACCTATGAATCTGTAATAAATATTATTTAAAAGCCATTTAATTGTCAAATAAGAACTGATGCCCATTTTTATAATATTTAACCTTTTCGTGAACAATAACGAAAATGAATTGTTTTGATTTTTCATTCAAAAATTTTTAACTTAAACATATGTCAAACCTTCATTTTTTAAGTTGGCAAGACCAATGAAACTTTCACTGAAAATAGTTCATAATTTAAAAAAGCGTTCGGTTGATCTGTAGCGGAATTGCTTGAACTTTAGTTAAACTGAATGAAGTTGAAAACCATAATAGGGATATTAATCAAAATTAATGATTATTCTTCAAGCATCATAAAATTGCGAAATTAAAAACCTATCATAGAAATAGTTAAATCGTTTAGGACTAAACTTGACATCATCAGTTTTTTTTGTATGTCTATTCTAAGTAATTGTATTTTTTTTATATAAATATATTTATATATACATATATAATTTTTTTTTTATTATTTATATATATATATATATAAATTTTTTTATTATTTATATATATATAATATATATTTTTTTTAAATCGAAACCATAATCATTATTTAGGGTTCCTGGTATATGTCTGTATAATATAATCTATATATATAATATACATGCACATAATCTATCCGTAATTTATTGATTTTGTAAATGAAGCAACATTGGTGAAGCCAAATCAAGTATTTTAATTATATCTATTACCTATATACAGCATATTTGATAAGCAAGGGCACTCTGTGTTATCATTTTACTGTGTGATAAAACAATTTGTAACCTTGCTAAAGAAAAACAAAATTTGCTTTACACTTTTGAAATAACGTACCTTATTCGAAAGTGATATAATTTTGTAACAAATCAGTGTAAACTCATAATACACATTGCTGAAGAGAATTTTTAAAATTGTATTATATTGTATTTTGATACATATGTTTTTTTGGAATTTACTGAAAAACAATAACAACATTTCCGCTCTCTTCACACAGATGCATCAAACATGAATGAAGGTGAGTCAGCAGGAGGGGGGCATCAACGGGCTAGCCCAGCCCCTCCTGCTGTATCCGACCATAGATCAGTTTTATCGTCTACGAATACAACAGCATCGGTGGCTACAACCACCTATACGGGTATAATCGCACCAACAACTATAACCGTTGCCACTCCTGAAGCGCATCAAGTAGTGGCCACAACGTTTGTGGATACATCCGTTACACCTCGCAGCTTTCAACAAGCGTTCACGCAGCAACATTTGCCAAAATTGCAAACACAGCAACAACAAATTAACACAACAACAACAACAACACGAATAATTTCAACAAATTTACAAAGTTCTCAAAACAAATCGTTGCAACAGAAATATCAACAACAAGTGGCGCAGGCGCAGCAAACGTCTATGCCGCAAACATCACTTATCGCGGTAACAGCAAATACAGCGAGTGATTTTGTTTCGTTAACACAAAATCCAATTGATAATATAACTGGTGCACAG